TTTTAATCCAAACACAGATCAGCTAACAGGTATGGCAGAATTTCATCTTTACAAAATTCAGATCACTACAGTACTGGCAGTCTAAGACACACCCTGTCGTACATTCCCCCACGTGAGTCAGTCAGCCACACGGATTAGTGAGTTTGCCTACTGAACTCAGGTATGTATAAAAACAAACATTTTTTGGACAGAAAACCCCCACATTCAGAGTATGCAAGGCACATTAAAGCAGAACTCCATAGAAGCTGTTTCTAGGTCTCTTGTAATACTATTCATAAAATCTCAATGTAATGCTGGATTAGTGATCTTAGCAGAACAATCTTCATCTCCGCTTGAGGCTAGCAGCTCCAGGCTGCATTTGCCACAACAAGCATGAAATACCATGGCCTGTGGCTGTGAACCAGCATTTCACGGGAAATGTTGATGCTAGTAGAAATTATGAAATTACAATTAGATCCACCCAATGTGAGTGCATGATTCTTTTTAACTCATAGACTCATAGTGTTAACATAATGTTGTAACGTTTCACCACTCATCGTGACTTCTTCAGTCTCAGCTGACTGCAGGTTTCCTCAATCCTATAAACAGTGCACTTGCATAATGACTGAAACTAGCACCACTGAAGGAACAATGGGCTGGGAGGTCAGTTCCTAGATCATTGATATGCAAATTCCCATGACCAATTGGTCCCCAAAAGTTGATTCTGTTCATCAGAATCAACTTTTGGGGATGCCTTAAACCTCAATTTCCTCTAAAGCGAAGAGAAAACTTCACTGATTCACAAAGACTGCATAAAAGTCATTTCACTTCTCACTTAATTTATTACGTCATAAACACTTTAAGTGAAATTAAATTATCATCTCAATCATTTGTTAAAAGCCTTCTTCAGTTCTGAACAATATTCATGCTATTTAGAGCCATTTTGAGAGTTCAACAGGTGAAAAGCCTTTGGACATGGCTACATTGTGATTGTCATTTGTCAGCCTTTTCAGCTCCACAAACCTAAAACAGTGCAGATGACACATTTGGTGCAGAGCCCACAACTCAGCAAGTACTACATGTTACAGACTCTGACCCGCGATGTCGCTGGGGATAAAATAAATAAATAAATAAGTAAATACGAAAGCCAAACTATATTCTCCTGAATAAACATGTACACTCAAACTGAACACTTTAGAGAATACAAATCTGACATTTTCCCCCTGGCACCTCGTAGACTGCTTGTTTCAGTTTGGTTACATCAACAAAAAATAAAAAATAAAGCAATGCCTGCAAGCACAACCCCTTCATTTTCATCACAACTACAGTCCCCTAGAGAGGAGGGTATTACTGTCACCCACCAACCCCCCAGTGTGTTGAATCATCCCATGTGCATTAGCCAACGGAAAATGAAAAATAACTTGAGACAAGTTGATCTTTCAACTGTACATTTATTTCCAAAAGGCTGCATATACATTTGCAAATTCTACTGTACAGAAAACATCCAAAATGTCCATAATTATAGATACAGTATACCGCAAAGCTGCCCTGGCATTACCAAACATAGCTGTTCAGCACTAGAAAAGCTCTGCAGCCTATTCATTATTATAATCTTAAATACTTTTTTCAACTTATATCTTTAATGTAAGTCAGTATGATTAATTGTTCTTTTTTTTTATCCCCATCTGTACTTTACAAACATTCACCATTTACAGTAGTTAAACAAGGCACAAGAATAGTGATATGAAGCCGAAGGCCATGCGTGAAGCAGGAAAGAGCATCGGACCAACCAACTCAGGTGACGGGAAGTCATGGATGCAACAGTGAAGGTTTTGTCTCATGAAACAGGGTTAGTCTTACACCAAAGCATTATACACAGTGAAAATATGTTTGTGTAAGAGTGTGTATGAGCTCACTTATTAAAGAACTGAGTTTCAACGTGTCAATGGGATACAGTAGACACAGCTGATACACATCCAGGATGAAGGTGCACGTTGAGTTTGCTTGTGTGTACCACACAGACAAGATGCTCTTGATGCGACATAAGCCACCGCTAAGCATTACAAAAGCACACGTTTCCTTTTCTGACACTCCACTTGTAGGAATGAAAAGCAAACTCCAGTTAGTCACAATTAAAAGATAAAGAAAAGACAAACAAAAGATTACCTTTCATATTCTTCACTTCACAAGCTTCAATTACAGAATAAATGGATTGAAACTGATTACAAATGCATAGAAATGATGCAGGGAAATAAAAGCGGATGGATGTAACCTTTCACATGTACAGTGCCAGTGGTGTATTCCAGGTGACCATATAAGTTGTGATGAACCACCGAGCAAGAGTTTGTTTCCCTCTCTTTGTTGAAAAAATAGTCAAGAAAATTGAACTTAGATGAAAAATGCTGAAGGACTAGATTCACAGGTAGGGAACTGTCTATGTACCTTGATCAAAAAGTATCAGCACCTGGACCATAAAAATCATTTGGTTAGTCTTCTCTTCTGCTATTCTTAGACTGCTGTGTGGAACTGCTATTAGTTGTACCCAGCATGAACAGGAGATCAGCTAGTTTTTGATTTTTAGGGGCTGAATCCCAGTGTTTTCCCAGTTAGTATATCTGTAACTTTGTCAAATAATAATTGATTTGGTTATTATTTAGTTACAGTAATGTAAGCAATATAGTATTGCCTGTTGTGTTGTTGTATAACAGTGGCAGTGGTTGATCTTCACTTGTTGCATCAGACCAATTTTGTACTTGCTAAAGACAGGGCGATAAAGAGCTGAAAATGGTTCAGTTGTTATAATGAAGAATTCATTGTTTTCCTTTTCCTGATACAAAAGGCTGAATAAATAAACAACAAAAAACAGCATTTATAGTGCCTCAGTCATTTAGTTTATCTATAGCCAACATTTTATTATTCTGAGTAGGCTAACATCTATAACTCTGTATGTTTTAGTAATACCAATGAATGCCAATGCTGGGGATTGGTCTGAGATTCTATTTTGTTCATTTTCATCCAAATCTGTTACTGTTACTAAATTTCACTATGCATTATAATGTAGAGGTTACAAATGACCCATTTTCTGTTTCTCTGTCTTGAAAATGAAAATTTGAAGAGTTGGTATTTGATTGAATGCTGAAATGTAGCCTTACTGGAAAGTGGCATGCTTATTTTCAAATAAAACCAACACACAGTTACAGTACATTTAATGGTTATTGTCACATTAGCGTTCAAAGATCATGTTACAGGAAAAAACACAAACAAACAAAAAACCTTTCATCTAAAATATTCAGCTACAGTGTTCTTCCCAGTAAATCTACCTTCTCTCTAAATTGTGTTCAAATTTGCTTTTGGATAGAAACCTAGCTATAGCACACTCAAAACTGCACACTGTGTGTCTTTGTCCTGATAATGATTTAAGAGTTGAAACAGGTCAAATCTGACATGTTTTAAGGGACCAAATGCTAAACATCTGAATTATACCCATACTTAACTCCACTCTACTTACCTGTAAGTATACCAAACACACATTTTTGTATATTAGCTATTCAGGTTAGCTTAAAATCGCCAGATTATATTGTAGTTTTGTATTTTCTTTCTTTTTTTTCTTTTTTTTTCATTTCTGACTTGTGTCATTGTTCTTTCCAGTTTAGTTTTTATTAGTTTCAGTCTTTTTAATTATTATTGTATGTATGGTATATGCGAAAGGCATGATTTAGAAAAATCAGTGCTGATAATCAACAAAAAAAAAAGAAGAAGTTTTTCTAATAAAAACACAGAGTTTTTGGAAAGCAGATGACTCGTACAGACATCCAAATCCAAAACCAAATCTATCAATGTTTCAAGTTATGATAACAAATTTTATCAAGCTGACAAATAAAAACTAAGAATATTGCATTTATCTGGATTCTTTTTTAGTTTCAAATTTCACATAATCATTTCAGTTAGTTTGATTTTTACCCTCACAAGTCCAGATTTATATTTTGATTTCAGTTAACAAAAATGTTTCTCTCTTTTTATTTTTAGGTTTAGTTTTGTTTAAGTATAATATTGATAATAGCAATATTACCAACCTTCTGGTCTACATGTCCACATTACGTTTTATTTTACATAAAACAATAAAAATGTGTCACCCACTCTGACTTTTTAATGCTGCCTCTGCAAACAGTCTAAAAGCACACAAAACCTGGCAATTAGTTTTTTCAAAATAAAGTACATTTTCTTTTGACAACTTTTTATCAAAGTTAAATTAAAGTTAGATTTCCATACAGTTAGCGTGAGGCCTGTAAAACTGTAAAATCATAAGCTAATGTTGACAACAAGATGTTTTCAGAAAAATTCAATATAGGTGCCGGTTGGGCTGTTCCATTCGCCTGCTCTCTGTGTTACCTCATTGTATTTTGTTTTTATATCAGCCAAATGTTTTTTGGGTAGATTTATGTCTGATTTATAAAAGTTATACAAAAACAGCTCCCACAAGTCTCACCAACAAGTCTAGGTAATATATTATAACTTAAAGTCACTTAAGACCTTAAACAACCTTTTAGATATGTGTGATAAGTGTTTAGTTTGGTTAAAATTCAGGTCTGTTTTCCCCTCCTGCCATCATTCAACTATTCTAACCTTCCACTACAGCTCCACTCTTGTCACTTGCTGGCACTCTTCTGTTTCAGTATAAATTAGTGAGACTCTCGGTGGAATTTTTCATTGCTAGGCGTAGAGCAAAGGACATTCCGTTCACCAGGGTTGCAGACAGAAATCTCAGTGGCACATATCAGAAAATTCTAACCTGAAAGTTCATGGCTAGAGACTGCCAGGAGTACGTGCGAAAATATAATTTTGCATAATTTGGCCTTATTCACCCAGCATGCACCTCTCTGGCAAGGTGAAGGTTGTTATGAGACCCGCTGTGATTTCACTCATACAAATCTCTCCGCTGCAAGAACACTGGGTGTTGTTTTTGAATATATCTGATGTAAAAAATACATCAGATATATTCATCAGAAACGTTTCTCCCACAAAACGCTACGTCCAGATGAACAGAATCAACTTTTGGAGATAAAAAGTACTTAATTGAACCTTGAATTAAGAGTCTTAAATAATTACAAAAACACTTTTCTACAAACACCAGCTAAAGCTCTGACAGCTTCAACCTTAGTGTGTGTTCAAATATAAAGATGAGGGGTTAACATTTCAATCTATTCTGACCTGGAGGTCATCAAAAGTTTCACTTACCATTACCTCACATGACTATGATATTTTCCCTTATTCCCTCAGCATGGCGTAGGATTTATATACCTTATATACTGTTACTGTATGTTATATATGTCTGACACTGTCTGTATTCCTTTGTTGTTTTTTGAATAATATGAAAATATGTGACCTCTACAGCCGCGAAATGTCAGTGTGGTGTGTGAGTTGTGTACTTGTGTGGGTGGGTGGTAGACATGGGGGCAGCTGGGTGTGTCAGGGCCTGATATGAGGTCTGTGTGACGGGTGTTAATGGTGGGAAGTGGATGATAAGACATAGCGATGACCTCTCCGCGGTGCCAGGAAATGATGTTTTACAGCTTCCTCCCTCTCTATCTGCCGCAGGAGGCAACTGTAATGAATTGTAATGCCACGGTTAGAAATCTCACTCTGCCACATTACGCCACAACCAACGGCTCGTTTTCTTTCTTACTTTTTTTTCGAGTACAACTGGGGATGATATATTTATGATTATTTTTTGCATAAATGATCACATAAGTGCTAAAATTTCGGTTTTGGGATTTTTTTTTAATTTTTAAATAAAACCAGGTGATTTTGAAGATACCTGCCTTGAAAGTTCACTATCACAACATTTAAGCAATCAGGAGCTTCCCATTAAAAATATAACAGTGGACATTAAAAGAAAAGAAAAACTAGCTTTTAAGTCCTTTTTCATTTGTTGACACGGGAAGGGGAGTGTCAGATCAAACATAGGTGACTAACATTACGCCACAGTTGTATCATCTTATTTGCATATTCAGACTTATATGCAAGCGTGTGGACTGCTGGAAAAGGAGCTCCCTTCTCCTCTAACGCGGGTTCAGACAATAGCAGACACAAAGGGGAATAAATTCACATCAACCTAAATTAAAAGAAGTTAGAAACAAACAGAAAGGACTGAGTGGAAAGGCAGACAAAGATTTACAGTCCAGCCTCAGACGGGTTCTTAAAAGAGAGGGGCAGATCCACAGCAGGTGCCAGCTCACCTCGACCTGTTGTGATCGGTCGCCGTGTTGAACACTGGCACCGTCTACTCACCTCGTGACCTTCTACTGCACCGCCGCAGTGTGTTGTCCATCACTGATTGTGTGCGTATACAGATATATACGTCAGTCTGTCAGTTTTTACTGGCTCTCTCTCCTCTCTCAGCCCGTGTATTCAGAAGTGCAGTCCTCTGTATTCTGACTGGTTAGTCTGCCTGTTCCGTACAGACTGCTTGCTTCTATGTGAATGGAGTCAGATTCGCAGTCGTCCTGGTCCTTGGGGGAACTTTTGGAGTGGATCTTTCCAATCTCCTCCAGGGCACTGGCTAGAGAGTCAAGGTCAGAAGTGTCCTGGTGACGAGCCTCCCACAGGCTTAGTATGACTGCAGACGGACTCCGCTGCTTTGCAAAATACCCCAGGTTTCTGTAGAGGAGCACATACAGGAACATGAAAGTAACTGTTTCTTTACAGATGCCACATGCAACGAACTTGCAAAAGAAAACAAATGTTTTAATGACTTTATCAGGTGGTCTTAAAGTTTAAATGTAAATGTGTAAATCTGCTAGTCCATCACTCGTGGTAGTTCGCCTGCTTCCTATGTGCACACATGCTACAGGAGTCCTTACACAACATGACTTTTCATTGTACAACCAGTTAACCAGAATCTACATCTAAAACTGTATGCTTGTCACTGTGTGCCTATTGGTTAGTCGCTAGTAACAGTCACCTACATAACACTGTAAGATATTTAAGGCCCCATCAACTGTCAATCAAATGGTGAGAAAGGTTTCACTTGGGAGACACCCACTTCATGTTACTAACAAGTATTTTGCCTGATTGCGCAACAAATCATTGAATTTCACTGACATTCCTCTGTCGTTACATCATTGCTGCTCTCCTTTTTGTGCACACCCCGCCTAACTTTAAAATCATGGAAAATGATCATTTTGTTCTGCAGAAGCACTTACTCAGGTTCAGCTAGCTGATGCATGCCCACAGTAGAGGTTCACGTCAGCTCTTTTTTTAAGCCTACTGTATCTACACACATGAATTAGCACAACATTTCTTGAATGCTATGATGGAATCAGCAGAGATGCTAATCATGTCGCGATGATGGATTGGACTGTTACTGAGGCTATAATCTTGCCAAGACCCCAGTCACATAGACCTAGTGACTGATTGGTGACTGCCTGGCAACCTGGTTGCTAGGGGGGGAAATGTATTTCCTTAAAAGCTGCAAGTAGCTGCTGTGCAGGAATCATGCAGGAATAAAGACAAGTTAGTGTCCCCCTAGTAACCAGCTAGGGAAAAATTTGTGTTCTTTAACTGGCTGGCAACCAATTGGGAAATACAGGGTGCTTTCAGTATATGGAAGCAGTATATGTAAGAGGAATAAAGAAGAGGCATATGGTGCTGCAGCAAAAGTTGGTACAGAACATCCCAATTGCCTGTTAACATTCAGCAACTACTTGTGGTTGTGAAACTGTGAATAGTGTGATGCAAATAACAAACTGAGACCATTTGCCTTCAAAGCAAATGATCTGGTTTCAGCAGTGAGGAATAACTTTAACCAGCAAGCTCCAAAAACCACTCACCAACATGCGCAGAGGATGCCTAACTTGCATGGAAAAACATTTTTGATCTTTTGAAGCAGTTTCTAATTTATCAGACTTGATTGGTGAGCCTTTAAATGCAGTCTTTTGGTCTTGTGACCATAAAAATTAATGCTGAGGCTTTTTCCCTGTTCCCTATCATACACCTAAAATAACTAGCTTCTTGAAGAGTTTAGTCCAGATTGGCAGGGCTATAGCAGTGCCACTGACATTAAAGTGATCTGTTTTTGTGTAAAGTGTTTGCTGCCCTTAAAGAACGAGAAGAAAGACGTCTGTTTCAAGCAACGTTTAGAACTGTGTCTCTGTCTGCCTCCCCCTCATCACTGCAGGCTTGTTTTGGACAGTAAAGGTTAGCAGCTAACGAGAGAGACTAGAGTGAAGGCACAGCAGCATTTTGAACTTTTAAAGAGCCTTAAAAAAGTTAGAAATGAACTCTGTAAGAAAGATCTTCTGTATCTACTGTTCCGGCTTCATGTCGTTTACCAGCTATTGAGAACATGAAACTGGAAATTTCAAAGCAATGTGACATGTATTTCAAATCACATTTTATTTCACAATGAAATCTGTTCCTAGAAGGGCAGACCTGGGCATTGTGCGTGTGACTTCAGTGGGGTCTTAAACAGTCTTCAACTAAACTCCGCTTACTGTTTTTTGCAATTTTGTGGGAAATCACAAGTCAGCTGGCTGCTATTAATTTTAAAGTGACTGCTATTTTTCTACATTACGTATGCCTGTGAATGGAGCTTCACTGCAAATGCACTGGAACCCACGTTTATGACAGATGTGAGAGTACAAAAAAGACGTGAGATCACATTAAAAAAAGAGTAACTCATGTGGACGTCTGAGTATTTATTTACTGACGTCAGAGGTAAAGCTGTCCACTTTAAAGCTGTGTTTAAGGTTTACAGTTTGAATTGAGGAATACAAAAACTTGACTGATCCAGAGCTGGAACGGACATCTGAACCTTTGCTGGCAAAGCAGAAAAAGCAACAAGGACCTTTGACCACGTTAAACACATCGAAAGATGAAGCTGCCAAGAGTAGCTTTGTGATTTCACAAATTCACAAAAACAACTATAACTCGTTCTCTGATGGGGAGATTGTCAAAGAGTGTTTGATGGACTCTGCTGCACTAATACGCCCTGAGAAAAAAACCATTTGGAATATGCCCCTCTCCAGGTGAACCATAATAAGATGGATCAAGGACAGTTTGGGAAAGTTGGAGCTTCAGTTGAATACTAAAGTGGACAATTTTGACTTTTTCTCCTTGGCTCTGTGATGTCCGTGATATAGCCCATTTCAGCCGATGGTTGTCCAAGTCAGGCAAAATGTTGAACTTTTGAAATGATGCAAGATAAAGTAAACCTGGAACTGAAAATTGGTACTTTTGCATTGTTTTAAACACCAGGAGGTGTTGTTTAAGTCAGTATAACTGCTGTACCTGTATTCTTCTCTCAAAAAGAAGAACTCACATCCACACATAAGGAGACATGATCCAGAAGATGTTGGTTCTCTCAGATCTACTTTCATATGTGAACAAGCATTCTCAGTGATGAAGTTTAACAAACCCACATTAAGGGCCTGTCTCAGTGATGGCCACATGTATTTCCACCTCAGGCATCAAATCTGACTTGAGCCCCGGTGTTCCAACCCAAATAGATTTCTTCCATTGTTCTTCAGTCTGCATGCAAAGTATCCTTGGGCAAGATGCTGTGATCTTAAGCAAAGTATTAAGATACTAACCTTCACACTCTCCGATGTGTTTATTAGAGTGTGAATGTTCTCACTTGTTTGTACTTGTATGAATGGGTGTGTAAGAGTAAATGAGGCGTGTTGTATAAAATGCTTTGAGTGCTCAAGTAGAGTAGAAAAGTGCAGCAGTATACTAGAAGCCGTCTATTTGCTTTGTACAAAGTTTGAAGTCTTTAACTTTGGCAAAAACATGCACAGTTGTTTCTGGCACTGCTGATTAAATATTGGTAAAATGTTGACATTTTTAGGTAGAGATAGGATTAATAGAGTTCTTATCTTGACAGAAATTCTTGTGCCTTTTCCACGGTGCACTAAGAAGTGCAAAAAACAAATGGAAGTAGAAACAGAAACACTGTGTGTAGAGTTACAGAGAGCAAAAACTTAATGGAAATAAAAAAAAGCTCAACCACTAAACAGCTACTGAAAAGAGATAAGAACAAAAGTATGAAACATAAGCATAAATCTTAATATCATTATTATACAGTAATTGAAAAAGGCAGGAAGTAGCACACTGTGGGTTAAATTTTTCAAATGTCAGAAAAGGGAGGATTTATACTCTCCCTGTTTCCCAACATCCACTCTATTAGTAGTTTGTAAAGAAATATAGGTACTAATGAACAGACCTGCGTTCAGCTAATTCGTCCCAGTTTCTCATGTTGCCCACTCCTGTTCAAGGGACAGCAGACCATTACAAGGTATTTCATAACGGTCATTGCTGCAAATCTTTGATTTGTTTATTGTTAGCTGACTGTGCATTTACACATTATTTAAGGTGAATTTTTAAGAAATGGCAAGAAGAACCCGTATCCGTGCTACTCTACAGAGTACTCTGAGAAATCCATCGTGGCCTGTCATAAAATGCTGAGTTCAAACCTGTGATTTACCATCAATGTTTTTCATCTTTTGTTAGTTTCTTTGCATTTTGTCCTGTCGGGCTGTGTCTATTTTTATTTGTCTTTGTTGTGACTTCTTCTCTTATTTTGATAACTGTAGACCTTTTGCTGTTTTTACTTCCTGTCCTTGTCTGTTTTCCCTCCACTGCAGTAATGACTACCCCGCCTTGATTGTTTTCACCTCTGTTAATTAGCTCCATCTGTTCCCAATTATTCCCCCTCCCTCTCCCCCAGGTTGCCTGTTTGTTCTCCTTTTGGCTCCCAGGTTTACATTTAAGTGATGTTTTCCTTTGCAGATGACATCATCTTTTATTTAAATATTTCAAAATCTGAATGCAAATACAGTGCACGTAATATGTTGATGAAAATGACCAAGACAAAAATTTTACATGGTCATTCCAACTGCTCTTACATTTTATAGTTGTGTTTTAATACAAAAACACCAATTTAGGCCTGCATGACTGGGGCTAAGGTGATTAATTTCACAGTGACTGCCAGCAACTGCTCACACCTGAGTGGAAAACACTGAATTTTCCCTAGCCACCAGCAGCTGCCAAGTAAACTTGGGACAAAAAATAAGAACATTTGTGTTTGGTTGATTATTTCTTTGTTGTAACAATGCTTCTTGCCAAGAAATCTGATACTGTTGGAAAGCCAGCTTATTTCCCTCAAATAGTGCCAGACTTGTAAGGAGGATGTATTTGTGGGTTGAGCAGCAGACCTGAGTATGTGGGTTGCATCAATGAAAAACTTGCAACATTATCTCTGCCACTGCTAAACAGCTTATTCTGCTATTGGCTCCTGTTCGGTGCTGTTTATTGGATTGGATGATTGAAGTCTGAAGACACAAGACATATTGGCAGTTTAATCATTTATTAATTTAATAATTTACCAAAAAGGAGCCTCAGCAGAGTTCAGAAGAACCCTGGTCACGAGCTTGATCACACACTTCTGAGGGACTTCTGGCACATGCAGAATCAAACCAATCAATTGCATATAATAAAACAGTTCAACCTTGGCCAATAACCTCAGTAAATTCTTTTTGTTTATTTTCCCTGTATATCAGGTTAATTCAACTTAGTTTCATCTTGTGGTTCTGAAACCACTGTTTTAGGACCCTGGTTATGGAATCCACTAAAAAACAATAGTTACCTATAATGGCCCCAAAATTGATCGTTTAAAATCCTAATATTAAACCCATTTGGGTCATTGAATCCCCTTTATTTGACTCTTAGAAAATCAGAATACTGAGTGCTAACTGTAAATTAATAGAACTAAAGAGTGTCTCGCTGCAGTAAACACAACCATCTGCTTTTCCATGTACCTAGAATGAAAAGTTCGACCCTTTAAGAATAAATTACCACCGCAAGTGATTACCACTGAACAGAGTTTGCTTTATATTTCATTCTCAGCTTCTGCCAAAGGAAAGGAAAACTAAAGCTTGTTGCCATGCCAATACAGTACAATGCCTTTGTGTCTCACTGAGCAGGGAGTCCAGCTGGGGGCAGTGTTTCACTGCCGCTGTGTGGTTCTTCACAAGAGACACAACAGCAAGCAGCACAAAAAAACTGCAACGATTGGTCACATCAGGCTCAGTTCAAAGCTGCCCAACTTGGAGAGGAAAGCTTATCTGGATAATTTAGAAATCCCAAAAGACTCTTAGATAGCAGCATCTCATGAATCATGCACTTAACAGGAGATCATAGCTGACACCAGCTAAGGCCAAGCAAAGACAACAACTGGGCCAGGGAAATAAGAGTGCAGCGTCTCATCAAAAATGCATATTTGTGTTTGGGAGAAGAAAAAAATCAGCTGAGAAGTAAGTGGTCAGAGTGACAGAAATGTTGGAGGCTCACTGGATTTCGCACTGTTTATGTTTCAAAAGTAGAGTGGATGTAGGTGTCAGAGTGTGTATGATGTTCCACAGCATCCCACAGTCAGTTACACCACGTGCCATACAGTTAAACAATCAGCCGTCTCTCTTGATGCTCAGGGAGCATGAGCAACCTGAAGCTACATTCAGCAGCTTATCAACACCCACAGGAGTCTTATCACTGTCATCAGCAGTGTTGGTCAAGTTACTTGAAAAAAGTAATCAGTAACTAATTACTGATTACTTCCCCCCAAAAGTAATCCCATTACTTTACTGATTACTTATTTTCAAAAGTAATTAGTTATTAGTTACTTAGTTACTTTTTAAAAACATGATTTACAACCTGAATAGGTGATAAAGCGATAGATCTTTCAGCCCAATTCTACTTTTTCTGCATAATCCATCATATAAAATGTAATCAAATGGAAAAGTTGTTTGAAATTTTTTTTTATCAGTTTTAATCTTTTAACTTTATGCATCAAGCAAACATTAAATTATATGCAACATTCTCTGACTGGAAGAAATTTGTTTAACATTTAAATTATTTTCTGCACATTCCAGCACAAAAAATAAAATAGGTTTTTGTGTTTATACTCAGTCTTTCAAATAGATGCAAGTAAAACACAGCAGAAAAAAAATGAAATCAAAGACTCAGCAGTCGTGTTGCTCTATTTTCACCTGTTTAGCAGGAGTGGGGGCGGGTGGATGTTTGCCCTGGTGCAGGTGTGCCGCATCGGTGGGTGGAAGAATCCGCAAGTTTCTCTGTGAATTGCCCATTCCAAGGCAGCGTACTCGGTGCTTGCTCGGAAGTTTAGGGTTTTTTTCACTGTAAAAATAAGTTTTCTTCCCACGCAGTGAACAGTGGTCGCTAATGTTTTTGTCACTTTTTACGGAATCAAACTCAAAGTAAGGTCAGTACTTCCACGCTTTACTTGAAAACTAATCGGATTACCCATCTCTGGTCATCAGCCTGTGTTCATTACAGAGGGCACACACACACACACACACACACACACACACACACACACACACACACACACACACACACACACACAGATCATGCGGCCTCAAAGAGGATGCACATCATACACTCACCGATCTAAGTGGAGCTTTTGGGCTAAGAGTTGCCAGTCCTTGCCCTTGGCGTTGGCAGTGTCGAAGGTGGCACAGATCCTCTGGCGGATGGACAGGGGGATTTTGAAGGCCTTGGGCCCCGTCTGGGACGTGATGGTGCAGTCTGTCTGCATAAAAAATGGAACTGACTCCTTTTCGGTCTGGAGGAACAGAACAGAAGCAGATTAATCAGACCAGGGCCAGAGAGGATTTGCAACTCTGCAAATAGTTGAGGTTTACTGGGTCAGGACCCTTCGGACAATATTTTTACACATTAAAAGATCAGTAAACAGACTGTAAGCCAATGAGACAAAAGTGATTGGTGTATGGGGGTACTTCTCAATCTGTGGATTCCTGTGGCCTGTGGATCAAACCATGAAAACCGTCTTTTAAGCCTACATGTGGACAGTTTAAGGAGTATCAGTTTTCTGTGGCCTCATTCTCATTTTCATTTGACCATACCAAGATTTCAGATTTAATAAAAATTTTTTTTTTTTTTACCAAAACAGAATAAAAGTTGCGTCCATCCAAATAAAATGGATGGAGGTGTGAAAAAAATGCTGTCATAACACAGGGGGCAGTAGTGCTGCATTTGACTGCCTTTGTGAACTAAACTTGGAGAAGAAGAAGAAGAGGAAGAAGACAGCACACTGACACAAGAATGCCTTACTGAGTTCACAGTCTGGTTTCTGCTCAGTGAGTGCTGAGGTCATAACTTGAAACATATTGCTGGATTGTGATCTATAAATAAAACATGTTAAAATCTTGCTGTGCGCTGTTTTCTTCTTTGTGTGTCTTCTGCACATGCCCAGTGGAAGAGTTGCCTGCACTGGTTCAAATGTGGATGCAAGCCAGCATTACTAACATAGCACACAAAGTTAGTTATCACAAAGTTGAGTCAAGATACGAGCACCGTAACATAAAACAGCATGTGATTAATCATGATCATGGACAGTTAATATGTTTTTTTTTATCACAATACTAAAGCTTAGAGAATAGTAAAATGGCTTTAAAACACTTGGAAGCCAACAGGAAGAAAAACGAGGATTCTGTAATTTTTATTTTATTGGTCAGTTTCTAAGAATCTGAGGATAGGTGTCACTGCTGCGTTTAAAGTAATTAAAACTAATTTAAATCAAGTCAAATTTAATGTGGAAGTCCTGAAATTTTTTTTAATATGTTAAACGTGGGCAGCACGGTGGCACGGTGGTTAGCACTGTTGCCGCACAGCAAGAAGGTCCTGAGTTCAATTCCACTGTGTGGAATTTGCATGTTCTCCCCGTGTCTGCGTGGGTTCCCTCCGGGTACTCCGGCTTCCTCCCACCGTCCAAAGACATGCAGCTTGTGGGGATAGGTTAATTGGATAATCCAAATTGTCACTAGGAGTGAATGTGAGTGCGAATGGTTGTCTGTCCCTGTGTGTTGGCCCTGCGACAGACTGGCGACCTGTCCAGGGTGTACCCTGCCTCTCGCCATATGACAGCTGGGATAGGCCCCAGCGCCCCCCCGCGACCCTGAAAAGGATAAGCGGAACCGAATGGATGGATGTTAAAAGTGCAGTAGACAAGCCTTAACCATGAAATTACTTGTGGCAGCAGTTATGAAACCTTTGGGGGAAAAGCAGGATTGATTGCCCTGTGAGAGAGAGAGCTCATAAGCAACGTTCAGTTGGTATTCTTTTTAACTGGATCTTTCACAAAACCAGTTTACTCATTAACCTAATATAGGCAAGTGATTTAAAAGGAAAGCAGTGTGCTGTTTGAGCTCTGTTACTAATATAATATCATTGAGTCCTCTCCTTCCATTTAGGTCTAACAGCATATAGTTGGAGTAACATTATAACATCTATGTCTTTTTACAGACTTTCGGCAATCCTGAGATAGTGTAGCAAGATTTGGATGGATTGAGTATGGTTCGCTCTGGTGCAAAGAAGTGGTAAAGCTGTTTTCAATGATATCCGTTCAACATGGTGGCCCCGCATTGTAAAACATGAAGCAGACCTCTGGAAACGCCTGTTTGCTGTATTTACCAAACTGAAACCGCTGATGTTTTGAATTCAACACATCACACCTATAAAAGCTTTTTTTTCTTCTTCCTGTCTGACAAACTCCACTAATCATCAAGGCAAAATTTAATCAAACCATAAAAAGTCATTGTAAATAATATTTCACGTCTGACTGTGACTTTTATTAGTACTGGTGGCCTTGAGGTAGGACAAGCGCATTTGTGACTGGTTGTGGAAAAAGCAGTTGGGTGAAATCAATGAGCAGCACTCTCTTCTGCCTTAACAGCAACTGCCAAGGTGCTCTTGAGTGAGTATTCCTGACTCCTAGCTGCTCCGGTGGAGCTGTTCAGCAGCTGATAGAAAGCTGTTGTTACAGCAGGCAGCTCCCAGGTGTTGGTGTATGTGAACGTGAAGGCGGCTATTTGCCGGAACATGCGTCCTCTTGGACAAACAGAGGTTAAAAAACACAGAGCAAATGCACCAAACAGCTGGATCTTGTTTTTGGAAAGAAGGGAAGGAAGAGTGCTCTCCTCGCTCTATTAATACACAGCTCAAGCTCAGGAGAGCTGGTCCTGCTCTGGTGTACACACTCCAGGAAGGTTACAAAAAGGTTGAGTGAAAAAAGTGAAACACCCTCCCCACAGCTTCAGAGCCTCACCTCGGCCACAGCCGTATAGACCTGCAGAATCTGCTCATGGCCTTTGACCTGGCGCACGCTGATTTTGCAGGAGAGCTGGGCGGTGACAGGGCTGTATCTCTCCAGAGAGAAGGCACAGTACAGGGGCTGCTGGTTGCTGCACCACACTTGGGGGAAGGAGAATTCCTGAGGAGGGAAAAGAGAGAGAATAGATCAGCGACATCACACTCAATGGTCAATATGACCTAACCCAAATTATACATTATGTTAATATAAAACCAAGTGATATTGTATAGTTGATGAAGTGTACAAATATAAACAGTTGTAATTTATCTCTCCTGTTTATCCAATTCAGTGTCACAAAGGAGCTGGAGCCTATTCCAGCTACCATAGGGCGAGAGGTAGGGTACACCCTCACTACTCTATTGCAGGGCTAACACATAGAGACAGACAACCATTCACACCTATGGGTAATTTAAAATCACCAGTTAACCTAACCTTTGGACTGTAGGAGTACCTGTATGTGTGTGTGTGTTATCATTCAGTCTATAAACACAACAGCTCAAAAAGTTTTGAATGAATTCTCATTAAACTTTGTAGGAGTATAGAGTGGAGGCATGTTAACAATTCATTAAAATATGGCTTACATCCACCAAGGTCATCAAGGTCAACTCAATGATTCATTGGTCTAAAATTGACAAGAAGCCTTGTAACTTAGAAACTATGATTCTTATGTTAAGTGTGCTGTGTATTGTCAACGCGTAGAACATACTGTATAAGATTGTAATACAACATGTCAGATTTAACCTCTCCTGTAACGTCAATAGATTAATCCAGTGGTTCCCAAACTTTTTTTGCTAGGCCCCCTTTGTTTTACAAGAAACTTTTTCTCGCCCCTCCACCACGCAAACACATCCTCCCACCACACACACCCATATTTTGTTTTCAAACTTCAATGCGGTTCATTTCCCACCTCAAACATTTAGTAAACAATTAAGCAAATACAAGTAAACTGCAATAAAATCAGGTAGTAATAAAATAAACTACTAACTCTTTAAGCTACGTCCAAACCTACACGGGTATTTTTTAAAATGCAGCTGTTTCAATGCGTTTGGGCCTTTCGTCCACACGTAAACAGCATTTCAAATCAACGAATATGGAGATTTTGTAAAACTCCTTTTTTGCATTTACGTGTGGACGAGGAATACAGTTCGTCAAACAATGTCAAGGTATGTGCCTTTTTTCACATCACGCTGTGCGCCACGTTATTGTTTACATGAGATTAATTGCAGAATGTCAGATAGAGGCAAAATACTGTTAATCTGACTATCTGCAGGTTTTACAGGCTTACATATACAAACACAGTTACTATCCTTCCATTTAGAAAGGCAGCGGCGTCACGGTGTGATTATTTTACGTGTAGTTGTTTTTTTCCTGGGTAATAATATTCAACATTGCTATCAATACATTTTTCAAAAAATGCCTCTCTGTGCAAAATGGGTTCAAAAACATAAACAACTGTGGGATACTGTTTGTCCGTGATTTGGACAGGGGGACCAAATCGTGGCGGGATCAGCTTGATGTTATTTGTATCCCACTGTAACTTTACTGTATAAAGAGCTAACATCTCCAACATGTCAGGAGTAGTTAGTCATTACGAGAAGTGTTTGTTAACTAAAAATCTAGAATGTGGGATATTGTTTGTCCGTGATTTGGAGAGCCCAGCGTGTGCTCCCGACGCAGGGAAAACCAATCCTGCAGGGGAGACCTACCTTGGCACTTGTGCAGGTGAAGATATGCTTCACCATATTTTCTAGTATTTGGCTTGGAAGGAAGTTGGTTTGGAAACATATTTAGCGGTGCTTCATCTCCTGCTTTGTGTTTGTGTGGGCGCCCCATCAAAAACCTGTCCATAATGTTAGCAGGTTTGGGAAGAGGTTCCCACACTTTGGGAACCTCTGGATTAATCTAAAGGTCAAAGTAATAATGCTGCTATATAGAGCTATTTAAAACTCTGTTTCTCACTGCCATTGTTTGTACTGAGAACATATAGACATAAAGGGAATATATGATATATGGGGACTCTAAATATCATATTACTTTATTATGGCTTTGTTATGTACATTACAATAACAGGTTATAACAGTTAGAATACACATCAATGCATAAGTACATGTTTTTGAAAAAATTAAATGAACTGTGTAAAAAAAAATTATTTATTGCTAAAGATTTAAATGATTTACTAAACAATAAAATGGATGCAATACATAAAGCATATTCATAAAAAAATTAAGTATATTAAAATTGGCTTCAACAGGGTAAATAGGAAAAGCCTTTGCACTTGTTTTTACTGCACTAGAAATGTCTTAAAGTGCATAAAAACCAATGTTATTCCCTTAAAAGTAAATACTTCCCAGAGAGTGAGTGGCCTTGACGGGGATTTGTGCTTTTGGAGTGTTTCGTGTTATAACAGATTTTTGCCATTTTACCTTTTGTTTAAGTGTATCAGCAACAGGAAATCACAGTAACCACAGCGCTACTTGCTGGTAAAGGTGAGAATGAATAGGAGATTTGTACGAGCAACAGAAAGGCCAGTTTTTGGGGACAATGGATTATAATCAATTTTATATTTGATTCTCTGATATGACTTGTGTTCAACTTTTGTCTCTGCAGCTGTTTTTTTTTTTTTTTTTAAAAAGATTTGTTGAACTACATGCATGAACAGGCGACATGAATGAATGTTGTAGTAAACAAGGTGATTCCACCACCACTGCAGAGTGCAGCTCGAATTGAAAGCTTTTGCTTGCTGAGCTCACTGTTTAGCAGGTTACCATGCACCAAAAGTGTTGTCATGCCCGCTCATGTGTGGTTTGCTTTGGTGTTGTGTTGGCTTGTCATTCACCTCCTGTCAAGCATAATGTGGCCAGTGAGGTTGGGCTGGGGGCTCTACAGCCATTTGTATTTGCATTTATATTTTTGCACAACTTGCATAAGCAACACATAGGATTAAATCAGGGATTGGCTCTTCTTGACCCCCTTCTTGTTTTCAGTGGTGTTGGACAGGCTGATGAGGTCAGGCAGGAGTCTTTTTGAACTATGATGTTTGCAGATGACATTGTGATCTGTAGTGAAAGTAGGGAGCAGGTAGAAGAGTGAAGAGAGTGTTTGCATCCAAAAAACTCCCCAAGAAGAAGATCACAATAAAGAGTGTCCCAGCATTTTATTTGTTTTTATCGTGGCTGACACTGTGTATAAAGCACCCGGACACTACCACATGGTAATTAACACATAATGCACCACCCACAAGTGTGACTGTTGGCAATGATGCTGGTCACTTTTGTGGGCTATGTTGAAGAGTCGACAAAGATTCAACACAGAACTCTAATTGAGTCATAAGGTGGTAGTGAGTGCTACTATAATGCAGGGTTTGGAGACTGTGACACAAGCAAAAAGCCAAGCGCTGAAGGCGTTAAGATTTTTGTTTTCCGTGGTTTAGAGACAAAGTTAGAGAGGCAAGGTTGAGATAGTTTGCACATGTACAGAAGAAGGATGTTGAATATGGAGCTTCCAGGGAAAGACAAGGAGCACAGAGAGGATTCACAGCCATGTAGAGGGTTGGTATGACACTCCAGAATTAAGCATGTTGATTCAGACTTTGTGTGGTAGGAATAAACCATTATTTTTGTGTTTTCCAGAGGAACTAGATTGTATCTCAAAGTTGTGATTACACGCTGAACTGTGAAAATTAACTGTTGCTGATTTCCTGATATGTGCTAAACTGATTTGAGTACTGACTGAATTTCATTTTCTTTTCTGTTGAATCAAATGCAGATGAAGTATTTGTGAAATTCCTGAATTGTCTGTGTCAAAGGTCACGGAGATGAAAGTCTGAACTGCACTTTAAAAAACAAGATACTAGAACTGAATAGACTCTGAAAGCTGGAACGACAGCTACAAAAACCTGGGTTATAATTAAACCACTACTTATTAACTTGAAAAGTTGTACTTTATCTTTTCATTCTTTAAACTGTTTTTAGGGATTTGCATGCACGATTGGAATGCATTCTTCCACTTCTCATTTGCTCTCACAAACCTTGACTCTGGTCGGAGAGATCTGTAAAACACTTTCAGTGCCACATCGAAATGAGATGATTTGGGGCACTGTTCTACACGTGGCCACACCATCACATACACAGCCACTTACATGAGGCAGGATAAAAGGTAAGAGTGGGCTTTGAAGTTTCAGTGATTCCAGGGTTTGATGTATTTATGCATGGAAATAACAACTGTTAAAGAGACAAAGAAGTAGTCATGATAAGATTTGCAAATAGAGCCTGAATCCCAGCAGAGTTACTCTGATAACAGAAGCAGCTGTGCTGTAAGCAGTCTACTGTACGGACGAATTAGGTGCAGACGAAGAAGTTTGCCTTTGATGTATAATTAATTTCAGTGGAGGAGGCACATCTTTGAGGAAATGTCCTTGACCTCTGTTCAACTCCATCTCGGCCATATCTGCATCTTGCAAAGTGACCTGTCTGTGTGGCAGACTTAGCACATGTGGCTTTGATCTGGGCTGCCCAGTGAGGCTCACGACAGAAGATAATGGAATCTGGAAGCATAGGCGAACAGGATGGGGGGGGGGGGTGATGGACGTAGAAAAGCTGGGATGCTCTTTAGCTGACTTGATGTATGGCTCGATGCTCTGCTATTATTCTGCACCTGCTCGGGCGAAGCAGGTTGGCGCTGCCTGCCGTCCTGAGGCCTTCATAAATAAGGCGGTGCAGAGGGTAGGTGTCTTTGAAGCGCTTTCACCCTGTATTTACATCTTTAAGTCACAGCGGTGTTACAGTGAGGACAACAGGTACACAAACAGAGGCCACTGATCTAATACAGTTTGCTCTTAATGGCCCTGAAAGCAAAGCAAACGCAGAGCTATTAATCACTGCTCACATCATTCTTCATGGTCCATGTGTGAAAGAGAGAGAGTGGGTGCCTGTAAGCCACTTTACAGCAGAAGTCACACTAAAAGAGCAGTTTAAAAGACAAAATGGTGCAGAAAGACCAAAAACAAACGTAATTGGAACGTTATAGAGCCTAAATTAATAATTTTCTGCTGTGAGTGTCTTATTATATATGGGGGCATAGCTTAAAGAGGGCCTTGGGTTTGCACCAACCCTCTGAGGGCCCATCAAAATTGTGCTGTCATGTCAATGCAACCATATCACAGTACTGTCAGTAGCTTCCCCATTTTCCAAGGGTTCCCCACAACACATAGACCCACATGTTTGATATGGCACTGATTTTTATACCAAGTTTTCAGTCCTGACCCTATCCTCCCATTAATTATTTTTGTTGTTAATACATGAGCATATCATGGTTTACCTTCCTTTATGAATCTAATAATGACTAATTAAAAAATAGCAACATGAACCTTACTTTTAATATGACATTATCAAGATCAAGATTGTTTTTCCCATGGACTTTTCTTTTTTATTCCCTTTGTTCGCCATCAAAAAGAATACAGATTTCAGGCACTTCCATTTGGACTGTCAGCACTGTGGGTGGACCTCAAGGGTCCAGGGACATAATAAAAGGCAGCTGTGGCTCCTCAGCTGAATTTTACCGACATCCTTTTACAACTAGGTGAAAGCCTTTAACACACATTAGCAACACTTCTCAGTAGTAACAACCAAGCTTATTATTCAGGCAGTGACAGCTTAGTGCATCTGCACCAAAACAATGGAACTAAGGACACCGACCCCACCAGGGCTCAGCAGCTGATGGTGATGTACATTTCACACAATGACTGCAGAGAGCAGGTCATCTACTAATTGAAAGGTTGGTCGTTCGATCCCTGGATGTAGGGAAACGTGCTTGTATGAATGGGTATGAATGGGGGAATGAGACATGTTGTGTAAAATGCTTTGAGTAAAGAATCAGTCCATTTACCATTTACTTCACATTGGCCATGCAGGTCAAATCCAGGAACTACAAAGAGGTTGTGCAGCTAGTTTTAAAGCATGACATCACTTGAAAAAATTTTAATTGTCTGAATTTCTCTCTAAGGTCACAAAGATGTAAAAATATGCTTTACCTAGGACTGATGTATGTATTATAGATCAGAACACCTAAACTGATTAGACAAGAAAGAGATTAGCTGAGCTGCAGCCTAAGCCAGGCTGAACACAAAGAAAACTTAACAGGCTGTTCACATAAACCAAAATCTGAAAAGTTTGTTTGGACCTGACTGGCAAAATGTCAAAAGGACTGCAGGATGTCTTCAGTTCCCTATGATTTATAAATGAAAGCATTTTATATTCAGATGTTTCTTACTTACAAAATAGGAAAATTATACAAATCCATTATGTCTAATGGATTCCATACTCAGAGAAATAGATGAAAATGATTATACAGTAGAATTATTTCCCCTATAACAATATCTCTCTAAAATAAATGAGCTCACACTGAAACCCAAATGGCAACCAATAAAAAGCAGAACATCACAATCATTTAATAACATTTAAAAATGTAGCCTTGACAACTTATGGGGAGGTAAGAAAATAATAAACCTTATTTCACTAAAATTGTGCAATGTATTATTGTGTATAAATATTACTGGAGTAATGAGTCAGTTGTCTGCTTAGGTATTAAATGTCATTTTGTTTATAACAAAAAAAGAAAGATTCCCTTTTTTAAGCATAAAAAAGTTTATTTTGATTAATTTGAACTATTTTGTGGCGAAAGTAACAGTCAATATGAATTTCTTTGTTCCCTTATATTTAAATGTAGATGTATTTTTACATGACAGTCATATCAAAATGTGTTTACAAATGTTCATTTTTATTAGTTTTAATTTTTATTTGGACCAAATATCAGTCTAATCCTGGATGGCCATGAGCCGATTATAGATGATTTGTCAGCTCATTGACTGTTGTCTACTACACCTAACACCTATGTAGGGTCCTCTTTATTTTCATTCTAGCAGACCATTTTTTGTTTCAAAAATCTGTTTTATTGTTTTGTTCAGTTGTTTTTTCTATAATGTAGAAAATAACCATTTTATTTTTTTAATTACCTTCAAGTTATAACAGCAAAGCTGTGACACCAACAGTGAATCAGCTGATGGTACCAAAAACTGGAGTGTGCAAACTGATACTGTCTTTGTGAGTAAAAGTGGGTAACCAATAAGTATAAAGAAATATTCTATACAAAAAGAAAAGATAAGCTAATTCTGACAGCTAAGTAACAATTACTTGCTGCTGCCTGAAGTAATGTCAAGTAGTGAGAAATGCTGCTTGTGTTAAAACATTTTTTAAAAAGAAACAACAAAATTGAAATAATATTCACAGATAATATTTAAGTAATCTCAAAAGGCGATTTAAATTTACACACACAAAATGTCATAATGTCATCTACATAAAAATTCTTTTTCATAACGTCAGCTTAAAAAATTTAAACGAGGCCATAATATGGACCTCGTATATACTGTTGATCTTAATTAAATGTTAAGTGCTAATGTTACTAATGTTAATGAAAAGTGAACGACAATAAAGTTCCCTCAATAAGCATCTTACAACGTGGTTACCAGATCCAACAGTACAGTAATTAAAGCCAACTAGATAATCCCTAAAATTCATTAACAGGAAAAACAGGTATAAACACTCCTCAGACTGCTGCTTAATAAATCAACCCTGGGAGGAGCAGAATTTGCAGAAACACCGCACTAATTAGCTCGAGGGAACAAACTTGCAAATTACCACTTACATACAGTATATGTTTTCAGTTCATGTTTTGTCACTTCCTGCTGTGGTTACCTGACATGTGGTAAAGGGTTTGATGCTCCATAGAAACTGGGGAACATCCTGGATGGACACCTGCAGGCTGAAGGTGTTCGCTCGGAAAGGCAACATCTTTGGCTCCTCGAGGAGCTGACCGCCTCTGGTCTTCTCTGCAGCCACCACTCCCTGAGGTGGAAAGGAAAGGGAAGAACAGCAGGACAGGCAGAAGATGAGAGAAAAAAGCAGGTTGGAAAGGTCATAACCCAGAAAAAGGGAAAGGGCGGTCAAGGGATGAAAGTAAAGGAAGGTAAAGCAAAGATTAAAAGAAAGGATAGAAAATGACAAAGGCAGAAAGGAAAGCAAAGGTAAAGATGAGAGGTAAAAAGAAAAGGAAAGGAAATGAAAAAAGAAAGCACAAGAGAAGAAAAGAAATATATGGAAACGATTGAGAAAAGGAAGACGAGAGCATGGAGGGAGGAAAGTGAGAGTCAGAAAAACAAGAAAAAGATGAGAAGAAAAAGAATCAGAAATGAGATTACTGCTAGAGAAAAATCAAGAACACAGTGTCCTCCTTCCTTTTTGAATGTACACTACCTTTGCATATCAGCAGAAACACCTGTTGCTAATCCTTTCCTCTGTCACATCCGCTAATTGACTCATCTCAAATATTAGCACAGAGGCAGGCTGCCAGCGACTGACGTCAAGTCTCAACTGAACAAATCTTACAAGTCACACTCTCACATTAGCATCACGTTTGCAGGCTCGATGTGACAGCTTGAAGCTTGAATTTAATGCTGGGGGGGGGACTTGTGTGAACTCGGCAGGGGATGGGTACGTGTTTGGCGGGAGGAGGGGTGCAAAGGTCTATCGCCCAAATTGGATTTGTGATGATGAGGGAGCACTTTGATTGTCACTTGCAGGTATTCATCTGTCATCATCGTTCAGTGTGGCAGTGGGATGGTTTGGCGTCTGGCACGTCTGTCCTCGGCCACCTCAATCACAAAAGTAAAAAGGACGAGAACAGAGCTGTGACTAATGTCAGGTTTCACTGATTGATTCTGACTGAGTGTCCTTATGTGAAGGGAGTTATCTGTGCATATATATGTGTGTGTGTGTGTTTGCATGTGTGCTTGCAGAAAAGCATGCTCGGGGCACGTGGCACACTGTGAATGCTGTTGGTGTGAAAACAAATCAGCTGTTGGCAAAATGCAGATAAGATAAAATATGGTGCCACTCCTTTGCCATCTGTCTTTGTTCTTACTCTGTTGGCCTGAGACTAACCCGATCACGCTGGATTTTAGTTGGTTTTCCCCTGTCGCAGCGGGCTAGCTATGATCTGTGGTAACATCCCCACTTTTGAACTGATGTGAAGCTGTCAAGATGCTGTGATTGAAGCCGTCTGTAGACGCTTCCTGATCTGCTGTTTGACACATCACACACCATTGATGTGTCTCAGATCATGTTTTGCACCTAAGAAAATGTCGCAATACCAGTCAAGAATATTAAAGCCTTCCAGAAGAATAAAGTATCAAAGTGGAAGGAGGAATTCAAAACATTCAAAGACATTTAGCCCTAATCCTACTGACTGAGGTCCACGGAGACCCCAGAGGTATATGTTTTGCAGTATCTCTTAGACGTCTTTTTTATTATTTCAACTTTTTTAATGGTTTTGTCAATCAATTCATTTCGAATGATGCCACATCACTGTTTTCTAGTTATGTTTTAATTACTGCTTTGCAAAAATACAAATGCTTTGGAGTCCCAGGGAGACCCCTGTCAAAAGCATCCAATTAAGCAAACTCAGATGCTGTCGGTGCATTTATCCTCTGGGTGGGCAACTTCCCAGGCTGAAAGCTATCAGAATTGTCTGATCTACTTGAGAGGGCATAAAAATCAGAGCCATTATAAACACATTGCAAGCCTTAATCCAAGTAACAATGACCCTCCTGGGAGTGAGAAAAGCTCCACCTGTCCAATGCTTAGCTGAAAAATGTACTCCAAAAAGGTGTTACCTTTGCTCCTGAAACAGATATACAAGAACCTAGCAACTATTTGGTCTCCCGTATGCTGATGTGGATGAGAAAGGATGAAACGATGCGAGAATCTGTGTGCATTAACTGACTGCAATGTGTGTTTAACTAGTTGTTTTCAGTTTCCAGACCCCGTACAATCATAAGAGATCTCATTTTGCACTGCCAAGCATAAGTTAGACTCTGTCTTGGTTGGTGTTTCTCTCTACCACAGCTGCCCTTTGTCATCAAATCTGTTCAAAATCTCTATGGGCAGAATTTCTAGCAGCAACGAAGGTGTGGAGGGTGTTAAGTTTGGTGCTCTCAGGATGTTGTCTGCTTTTTGCCGATAATGTACTTATATTCACCTGGGGCATTTTGCAGCCAGATGTCATGTGAATTGGAGTAATTAGCACCTCCAAGTCTGAAGCCATGGTCCTAAGCCAGAAAAGGGCTCACTCTGGGCTCTGAAGCAAATCTGGAAACTGGAAAGTGATCCAAATGAGCTTCCTCTGAACGGTAGGGTAAGCTCAGTCATTTGGGAGGAGCTCAGACTAGAGCTGCTACTCCTCCACAAAAGTAACCAATTAAGATTGTCTGGGCAACGGACCAGAATTTATCCTGGGCACCTCCTAGGTGAGTTTTTTTTTTTTATCTCTGGTCTGGCTGGTTGTGTTTATTTCAATTATTTTTTATCTGGGTCAAAATGACCCCAACAGAAAATTCTCAAATGAAAAATTTATTCATTAAGTTGTCACGGTTCTGGGTCGACCCAGTGCATCTAGATTTCTGGACTTTATAGTGTTTGAAAAATTCTGTTGATTCTTGGATTCATTTACCTTAAGGTGGATGTTTGTTTAGGTGATGTTTAGATGAGCCCCCAGTTTTTAGTTATCTTTAGTTTTTCCTCCCTTCATGTTTAACCTTCTGTGAGTCAGTCTTGCTTTTATGTCTGTTCCCCTTTTTTATGTCCAGTCTGTCTCTGTCTGTCTCACTCTTTCAGCTCAGTCATGTCCCTGTCTGGTCTGTGTTCTCCCCAGCCTGTCGTGTCTCCATGTCTGTTTATCCCCATTACCAGTGTCTACTTCACTTGTCTTAATCTGGGTCTTGCCCCTGTGTGTCTGTGTGTCCTCCCCAGCATCCCCTGTGTGTAGTCAGTTGTCTGGTTGCAGCGTTTGTGAACAGCAGTTTTCAAATCTTGCCACAGATTCTCGATTGGATTTAGATCTGGACTTTGACTGGGCCATTCCAACACATGGATATGTTTTGTTTTAAACCATTCCATTGTTGCCCTGGCTTTATGTTTAGGGTCGTTGTCCTGCTGGAAGGTGAACGTCCGCCCCAGTCTCAAGTCTTTTGCAGACTCCAAGAAGTTTTCTTCCAGGATTGCCCTGTATTTGGCTCCATCCATCTCTGACCAGCTTCCCTGTCCCTGCTGAAGAGAAGCACCCCCAGAGCATGATGCTGCCACCACCATATTTGACAGTGGGGATGGTGTGTTCAGAGTGATGTGCAGTGTTAGTTTTCCACCACACATAGCGTTTTGCATTTTGGCCAAAAAGTTCCATTTTGGTCTCATCTGACCAAAGCACCTTCTTCCACATGCTCAATAATTACACACACCCCACTTTGCAGTTATTTATTTGTAAAAAATGTTTGGAATCATGTATGATTTTCGTTCCACTTCTCACCTGTGCACCACTTTGTATTGGTCTTTCACGTGGAATTCCACTAAAATCAATTCATGTTCGTGGCTGTAATGTACGGAGCCCCGCAGGAGACATGGGAAAAAAAAAATTAAGACAGACTTTTGCGAGATCTCGCAAAACAAACTTGCAAAAGTTTTGCGAGTTTCATACATCTCCGAAAACGTCGGAGCACTTTTACAAATATGTGATGTCTTGTAAACCGAGCAGATATCTGACGTTTACACAACTACATTCACACCTCAAAATATGAATTTGTTTTGCGAGATCTCGCAAAAGTTTTGTGAGATCGCCAAAGTTTTGCGAGATCCCGAGTTAGTTTTGCGAAATCTCGCAAGTCTGTCTTGCGAGATTTCGCAAGACAGTATTGTCCCAATCTCCCCTTATCCTGTGCCGGAAAGTCAGTTCTTCCACCATGTGTTTTGCGAGATCCCGAGTTAGTTTTGCGAAATCTCGCAAGTCTGTCTTAATTTTTTTTTCGCCCATGTCCCCTGCGGGGCTCCGTAGTAATGTGACAAAATGTGGAAAAGTTCAAGGGGGCTGAATACTTTTTCAAGCCACTGTATGTATTGTCCCAATCTCCCCTTATCCTGTGCCGGAAAGTCAGTTCTTCCACCATGTGTTTTGCTCATGTTTCATATTACAGTTTAGTTTTCTGTTAGCAAAAGTCTTAGTCTCCTTTTGCCTTTTGTTTTCTGTTTTTGTATGAATTCATTGAGCCTTAGTAAACAGCTCACTTAAAATTAGTCTAGTCTCCAAGCGTCTGCATTTGGGTCCTCTCTCCAAAACGTGATCAGCGTCAAACAGATCGTGAAACAAGCAGGTTAGATTATTGCGTCACTCTATTTGCAAGACTCCCTAAATCATCAGTAAAAAGTGGAAATTCAACCACATTACCCCAGTATTTAAATTACTTCACTGACTCCCACTACAATGCAGAATTACCTTTAAAATGATTTTAATAGTTATGGTTTGCTCCCCCCCCCCCCAGTACATCTCTGACTTGCTCACTGTCAGACCTCTCAGGTCATCAGGTACAGATCTTTTAACTGTTCCCAGAATCAGATCTACGTGTATTTAAGGCACTTTCAGTTATTGTGGTCTTGTTCTTTGGAACAAGCTGCCTGCTGACCATAGATCAATTACATCTGTGTGTACATTTAAAAACAGACTAAAAATCGTTCTGGTCACACACTTACACTCAGTAGTTGTTTTTTGTTTTACTGTAAACCCTCACTGTTTTTTAATGTCTAAATTTTCTGTTTTAAGCTTTTTGAGTTTTCATGTAATGAAATGTGCTATATAAATAAAATTGTCATTGTCAATAATTACATAACTAATAATTCTTGAAGTACAAGTTAGTTTTGCTAGGATTATTTTGCTACTATGATTGCATCTTACAGTAAATAATGCTTGGGGTCCCCAGGATCCCCTGTCATTAGTCCATTTATATATAGTCCATATAAATGTAGTGGTATGATGAGCATTAGAGTGAATTTCTGCAAGGACATTGTTGAATGACAGATTGCTTAAACCAATAACACAAAAGATGAGTATGTATAAGTGCAACAAGCCTTTACAGATGACAGCGGAAAGAGAAGGAAAGAGACTTGACTAAGACTTCCAAGCTTCGTTTAAGGTAAAAAACAAAACAAATTACAGAACTTAAAATTCTACAGGGTCAATGCCATGATCCTGTCTGACAGCAGACTAGTCTTCTAGCTGCATAATTTTCTCAAGTACGGCTGCAGCAATCAGGAAATACAAAATGTGAATAATTTTAATGATGTGAAATTTCTAAGACTATACAACATTTTTTTAAGATAGGAGCAACTATTTTCAACATAAAGTGGAGTAATGAGAGAAGTTAGACTTCTTATGAGAGTTTCGTAAACCAAGATTATCTTTTCTTTGTCGGTCTGTCATGCGTTCACATTAGCACATTTATATCAGCTCAGTGTGAGAGTCTTAACTGTAGGGCCATTTTACTTACCTTCACTGCTTGGAGGTTAGAGTGTTGTATAGCAACTAAACCCCAGCTGCAAACTCATCACCTTTCAGAGGTATGCATTTTTAAAAAAATCTTACCCACGTAAACTGTGGATGAAAATTTAATTCAAGGGTGAAAATCTGGTGCTTTGCACCGCGGTCTAATTAAGGGATTAATTAATGGCCTATTCATTATACTTTGTGAATGTATAATCATGTTTTTACTGCTCAAAAACAATAAACAAATAGGATTTAGTCTCTCTATTTTTTGGACTTGGTCTGTTTTCCTTTAGCCGGCAAAATAACATTTCAAACATGCTTAGTGCAATTTGAAACACATCAATTTGTCAACTGTAACTCCTCCTCCTCATGGCAGATGTCAAATAATCTTGTTTGCAATGTGGGTGAAATAGGCTCTGGGTATGTGCTTAAGACACGTCACGTTTTGTTACCTTTCCGGATGTGCTGTTAAAACACTCACATTACACTTCTGAATGAAGTGACGGAAGGTCACAAGGATCTATTGTGATAAAAAGCATTGGATTAATTTTTAGAAGTTATTTCTAGCTGATGTTAAAATTCAGGAGTGATTCTCTGCCAAGGCTAAAGACTAAAGGTTGAGGTGAAAAGTATTTTCTAGGAGCATTTTCATTGCTAGGAAAGGTCTGCCAGCAGAATACTAATGTAGGTGATATTTTCAGGTAGCAGGTTTTATCCACCTTCTCTCCAACATGACTAAATGCTGTGGCCTTGGACATGGACTTACTTTTGGTGGAGGGGGTTGCTCATTCCTAAGGAACAAGACACTCTCTTTTTGCCTTTGTTGTTACAAGTTGGTGATATAAGACTTGTTAATGGCTAAATTCAAAATTAGGTGGTTTTTAAAGGGTCAGTGATGCTGCAGATTGAGAAAACAAAAAAAGTAACATGTCTTCCAAATACTTATTTTCTGTGTATAAGAGCTAATAGAGTTATGCACTGATGGACCACAAAAATAAAACCATGGTGGTAAAATGAACATCGTCTGCTTGGAAATCTTTTTCCAAGGTTGCTTTAAAATACACCACACACCCTAAACACTGATGGAGACCAATCACACCCTAGAGCTGCAACAGCGCTGCCCGAAAGCCGGATAATGTGCATGCCACACTGCAAAATCTGCTTAGGAAGAGAGAAACATGAAGAAGACCCCAAGGCAACTTCCCATACATCATGCACCCACTGAATGCTGAGAAAGGTCCGGGACACAGCTCCAAAAGATTCCAAGTATCTTTTAGAGCTGTCATCATCTACCAATTTACTGGTGCCGTGATGTAGTTTTTGTATTTATTTAGCACCAAGTGTGAATGTGGGCATCTTCATGTGTAAACCACTGTATGTAACAAAGGTCTTAGAAGAGATGCAAAACATAAAGAATGACATTGCATGTTTGTTTTTTCCATTTGTGTTTTTTTTTATCTCTTTTCATATGTTGTGCTGTGTCAAAGAAAACAGAATCCTGCAATTTTTCTTTTTCTGTTTTTTGTTTTCAACTAGAAAAAAGAAAAAAAAAAAGAAAAGAAAAATAGCTCTGTCACACAAGTGTTTGTGTTGCATGAGGCTTCCTGTTGATCCAGAATCCCGGTCTGTGATTGACTTTGTGCTGGAGCATGGGAAACACACAGCAGAGATGTGGCGCTAACAAACAGGAGCCCAGGGGACATGCTAAAGTCTGGCATCTGCTCGGCAGGCTGGGAATTCATAAACCAAATCCAGAATGCATTTTAAAGCCAGCTGCCGCTGATGTTGGCAGCATGGCAGAAGGTTGGTCAGGAGGTAGTCAGTCACGAGGCTCGCTATGCTCTGTTCAGCTCTGTCTTCCTTTACTCAAGCCTCTCTCAGGAGGACGGAGAACTTGATTTCCCTCATGTTCACTGATGAAATTTCAATGATTAAAACCCTATAGGTTGCTGAAGGATAATCAAATCAAATGAGATTTTTAGAAAAGAATGATTGGTGAACGTTTGAATGGGAGCGATTACAGTACGGCACACTATGTCTGACTCTATTAAAAGAACAAGAAGAGCATCCATCAAGTTGCTACAGAGTGTTTAAAACACTGCTGTATTGTTTCTCTGTGGTAATGAATGTGCAATCACTCGTATCTGAAAGTGCACATGTTGCGGTCCCTGCTGCCTCAGAGAGCGCAGGCAACAACCACACACAAGATGCTCATTGTGAATGTGGGCCACGGCCTACAGTGCAATCTGCACTCTCCTTACAGAGTGGAAAATATTCATCTTTGTGTTTAACGGTATAAATACATAGCTCAAGTGTTGGTGGACATTTGCAAAAAGACTGAACTTTCAATTTGAGAGTCCTGGAAATTAAGTCAGCAAATACAACACATGCTCTAGTGCAAGGTATGACTAGAGCATTTAGCTGAAAAAACAGTTTATGTAGATCCAGCAGGTAGAAATCAGCCAAGTCTGTTTGTTTTTATTGATTTGGAAGCGAAAGTAGAAAACCCAAGTGACAACTGCTGACGAACATCAGGACAGAGAACTAGCAGGAGGTTTGCCCAGCTCAAAGATTATGCTTCACTAAACACACAAGTGGAAACAGCATATACTACAAGACCTGAAAAAAAGTTTTGTGTCTATGTGTGTGTGTGTGTCTTTGTTGGGGTGAGGGGGGCTCTTTCTCAAAGTAAGATTGATTGCATGGAAGTCCATTTATTTCATCAAGGCAAGTGTCAGACCAAAAAACATCAGTGATCCTTTAAATCTGCACTAACCTGAAAATTTCTGGCCACCTATGGGCACGGTGTAACATATGACTGATGTCATAACGCCTTTCAAAGTTGACACTACTAAAAGTTTTTTGTGCACTCCAAAATAAGGTGGCAATTTTCACTTTTTAAAGTCTTTACAAGCACATAAAGGTAATGTGACTGTTAGACGACTAAATCCATCACTTGCTAACTCAGAGTGCTTGCCTTTAGATTACTATAAGTAGCTGCCTGCCTGTTGAGAGTAAACAGAAACAGTAAAGTTGTGGATCATGTACCCAAATTAAAAAAAAAAAAAGAAGGGCAAAAACATGTAAAGGGAAATGCTACTAAGAAACAAACCTGCATGAATGTACTGGGTTTACATATAGAAATGAGCAATGTGTGTAATAAACCCTTCATTGGTGGAGTTGTAAGTATGTCTTGTAAATATATTTCCGTAAGATGCTGGCATTGCAGCTACGACCCATTTCAAATGTTCCATATATAAACATTTTACCTGACACATTCTTTTTGTACATTAAAAAATAAAATAACCTCCAATAAATGAGAGCTCAAATAAAACGGGGAACTACCTCAAAGCATAGGGGAGTGCAGCCATACATCGAAAGGTTCCACTTTAGCAGCTGTTTTTAAATACACCAGTCCAGCACTAAATTAATTTTGCCCTGGGAATTAGCAGTTTATAAGGAAGCTAAACCCTAGTCAGGCCTTTATTACTGGCCTCTTGCAGATAAATTAGACCCTGGAAGATGGAAAGCACAATCATAGCTCAACCATGAACAAAAAGGGCGCACCTGAAAGGCATGTGGCGTGTCGTCCACACAGTACACCCGCAAGGTGTAGCTCATGGAGCCAACCTCCATGGTTCCGAACACAGCCAGCTTCAGCCTCTTGATGGCAGCCTGCGTCAGGGGCTCACCCACGAGGGCGTAAGAACCTGGCTGGTCCAGCAGCAAGTGGCAGCTTGTCGAGTCCATCAGGCAATAACATGAGGTGGATTCCTCCTCCACTGACATCACTTCCTGTCACAGAAAAAGAGGTGAAACACATGAAGACATTATCTTTAATCAATTCACGTCTAGATGTTAACAAATGTAATTCAGTCAGGAGAAGCTTTAGCCCATCAGCATTAATTTATATTTGGCAGCATGCCACTGTCCAGCGTTTATTCTATAGAATAAAGGTGATGAGAGGATAGCTTTTTACACTTCCAGTAGAAAAAACAAAGACTAATGACTGATTCAATTAGATGTGGAACTTAAGGACGAAATGGTGTGGTGGTAGATTGCAAAGAGGCTTGCAGACTAAAGCAGCTTAAAATCTTCATGTGTTTGCCTGTTGGATGTGTAGAGGAGTGTTAGGTGAGCCATCGGTTGATGCGGCTCATGAGCTTGACTTTTGTGCTCTACTTCACCTAATTCATGTAACCCTGACCTCAAAGCATTAGATTATGGGTGTCCAACTCCAGGCCTTGAGAGTCGGTGTCCTGCAGGTTTTAGATGTCCTTGATCCATCACAGCTGATTTAAATGGCTAAATTACCTCTGCAACATTTCTTGAAGTTCTCCAGAGGCCTAATAAACTAATCATTTGATTCAGGTGTGTTGACCCAGTGTGATATCTAAAACCTACAGGACACCGGCTCTCGAGGCCTGGAGTTAGCCACCCCTGCATTAGATACTAAAATGGTGTATTTTATCATCTTTACTCATATGATTGGAGCAGAATTGGCTGAAATGATTGGCCTCCTAGGCCTCAACCTTGGGCACTAACAATGAAGGTCAAGGTCAAATTATTAGCCAACCTAGGTACTCATGTCACCCAAGCCTAGCCTAGTTTTCAAGTTTGAAGACCATCCATAAACAATTGGGGGTAATGTAGGTATGTTTTTACTGATTTTCATATTTGGTGTGACCTTGATTTTGACATTGACCTGATTTTCACCAAACACTGGTATTTACCATCACACAAAATTTGAAAATGATATGTTGTACACTGTGGACACTACACTGCTAATAAACAGACAGACAGATACTCCCTCCTTTCAGAGGGATAATAGGAATAATAGTATAGTCTTTAACAGATTTTCGTTGTTACTCATCTGATAAATCTTAATGTCTTTAGTGTCTTAATCTTAATGTCTAATGTCGCTCCTGAGAGTGAGATATAACACAAGAAACAATAGATGTGATCATGTAGGAAAAAGCCAGTTAATCGCAAACTGTCAGTCAGTTTTTATTATGCTGTTTTAAAATGTTTTAGGAAATACTGCATTTCTGAACAGAACTGCACTCATCAATAACTGAGAGCAAAATCTGTGATACCACTGTGATCCATAGTCAAAATTATTACAAGCCTTTGACACATTGCTTTTTACACACAGATCTTCTTAAAGTACCATACATAAACTCTAAGAGTAAGCATATACTTGAAAAAAACAAGTTGGATTTAGGGCATCTCTTTAGGCCTAACCTGTAAACTCATTTAACTAAAAATCTAATGTAAATATTTCATAATTTCTGTGTTGAGGTGCTCCACCACAGGGGTCCCTGCACTGGGAGAAAGGCTGTACCTCTTATTAAAACACAAAAATCAAATCAAAGAAAGTGCAGTACACATTATAGGACAGTAAACAATAAAAAAGCAGACAGAAAACAGGTTAAAAGACAGAAAAATAAACATAAAAAAACAAAAATAAAAGAAGGAATTATCTAAAAAATTGAAAACATGCATATGAGATTACCTAAGTTCAAAATTCATGCTTTACACACTGAGCTATTTTCTGTTGATTAGAAGTGTAACAATAAATTTGGTTCAAAATGACCATGTAGCCAATGTCGTCATCACAAGATGACATGACTCAAGAATACTTGCGCAGGTTCTGTGGTTGTAAACCAAGGTCAATTTTGTAGGACTTTAAAAATAAATAAACACACCTTAAACTCAATTCTATATGCGGCAAGAAATGCAGGGAACCATGAGGTTATATTTCTCTTTTAAAAACATCTACTGTCACCTTTTCATGTTGCCCGTTGCCACAATCTTTTCATAAAGTCTCATAAATAGGTTCATATTCATCATTTTGACACATTTTCAAACTCAGTACTGTGCAGTATGTCCTCTATGCACATCATACACATACTTCCATTTGCAATTTGTATTACAAGTCATTACATACAACACAATTTGCAGTTTCTATACTATTACGGCCTTTCCCCCCCGGGAAGTGTTTATTGCATATTTCAAGTCAATTTAGTTAACAGACACAAAAAAAGAAGAAACAAGAAAATAAACAGCTCGCAGACTGCAGGGCTCCAATTTTCACTTATTTATTGCTCCCAGAAAGTTACAGCTTTCTGGGAGCAATAAATAATTATTTGCTCATTTCTTCACACAGCACCTGTTTTGGTTTGGTTGTCACGTGATTCAATCACCTGATTAAAAGTTACAAAACTTTAGAACAGCTTCCAATAAAGGATTAGGGTTAGGCAGAATTTATCTTACACGCTTTTCGAGGCTGTTCCACTGCGATACTTATTGCAACAGAGTGAGTCGCTGAGGTAAATATTCATGCCGAGAGCTGGCGAGAGACATCGCAGTAAGAAAACTCTGCAAATGAACTTCTGTATACAGTAGAATGTATTATGGATTCTAGTCCACTGCTGCTGAATAATGATGTATAGGTAACATAATGCAGGTTTAAATCACAAAGCAAAAACCCACACAGGTTGTAACCAGTCTCGGGAGAGTGTACAAAAGTATTTCTGACATAACAGATGATGTTAGTACATAGCGGGACGCAAAATAGTCATCATAAACAATGCTGAGTGTTTTATTTATGAGGCAGCAACAGCAACTGGAAAGCAGTTCTATTTTCTCCAAACCTCACTCAAAGGGAACATACTTGAAGACAAACTGTGAATGGTATATGATTAGCAAAGATTTGTGTAAACCTACTCCCCAGACAAAAGGAATCAGAATAATCCAGGCAGGAGAAGGCCAAGAGCCTCAAAATTCACCTTCAGATATCGTCTTTTGATTATTTATCCAAACCATCTCACAATTATTGTCACGCAGTAAGCTGCAGCAGACAGAATCCATGAAATCCGTGTGATTAGACAGTTTAATGAGGAGCTGTGAGACCAAACAGTGTACCAAAACACAGCCTGAGGAGCACAACTTATACCTCCTCAAATAATCAAGTTAACTCGAAACATGCCAATTAGAAGCCATGTTACCAGCAAACATGTCTTACAAAACAGCAAACCTCCACGCGTTTATTTAAACACCAGCATTAACCCTAACTACATCAGTGTACAACCTATTGGTCAATATACATGTTTTGACCTACTGTGTATGATGGTCTTGGAGCAATTTGGAAATAAACTTCTGTCTCTTTTTCACCGTGGAAACGGGAGTGTGTCTCAACACAAAGTAGTTTCACAACAGCACAGCAGCTGCTCTGTGGAGCTGCTTAATGAGAGTTCTTCTGAAATGGGCCCGATGCTGAGCATAAAATATTTGCAATGTATCCATTAATGTACTATAAAGATCAGAGGATCTCTTTGATACACAAGGGAACTTAAAGTCATGAATCTCTGGTGAGTTCAAAATGGAGATTAGAAGTAATGACATCCCCAGGAAGTGTAAGCCACGGTGAATTTAGAAAGACATTTTTTTAGGGTAGAGTTTGTTTTTGTTTGTTTTTTTTAGCTAAAATTAAAAGAAAAAAAGAAAGGAAATCAAGATAAACTAACCAATGGACCTTCCATTTAGTAATGATGCTGAAACCTAACTAAATAGTTTTTTCTGCTTAAAATTTCTCATTTAGAGCTTTAATCTAACCACGTGCAAAAGTAAAACGTGAGTGAAAATGAAACAAAGCAGCAAGGAATGAGGAGACAAAAATCAAAGACAGGAACTAACTTGTGTAAATGAAATTAAAGCGTAAAAGTGGCGAAAAAGACAAAGACAGGAAGTACTGCACACAAAGGAAGTAAAAACAAAACGTGAAGAAGAAATGAAAACATAAAACAACAAAACAACAAAGAAAGAGAACAGACACTAAGCATAAACATAGATATCACAGGGGAAAATGTGATCAACTCGTTTACCCTGAGCCAAGATGAACCAAAGAAACACTTTGGTCTACAAGATCTATCATTAGAAAGTCTTAACAAGATTTCTGTAGAATGAACCTCAATAAAGACGACCAACAACTGTCTCTTAGCCTGCCTGCCAATGAAACTTTAGTAGGGGACCTCACATCTGACCAGAAACCCCTTAGAATGACCAAATACTATTTTAAAATTAGTTTGATCAAAGTTTGATTTAAAATTTAAAAAAAAAAAAATCTACTGTCGGGGCAGACCTGCTTATTATAAATATCTCTGTTGAGTTATGACTCAGAGAAACCGTGCATGTTCTAAAAGCAAACTGGTTTATCTGATTTTAAAATGCACCTAGCCTCCATGAGCTGTGAGTCACAGCCCCTGCTGTCACTGTTACTGCTGACCATGTTGTGACCAGGGCAGTTCAGCAGGCTGGAATATAATATCTGAGTTCCAGTTATTTTTTAGAACATTCCCTCTGTACTCGTTTCTTCAACTCTCCTTCATCCTGCTGAGGAGGCTCTCCACTGTTTGGGAGCCTCTATTATACATTATCCTGAGTTGATATGCAGAACGTTTTGTAAGTGAACAAAAATCTGAAATCTCAGTTTATCTTGAGGATTTGATTTTAAGGACCTTCTCTTTTCTTGTTAAAAGATAAATGGGAATTGAGGCTCAAGCTGGATGAATGCTGGTAGAGAGACACTCTGCTCAGGGTCAGTTTCACCAGATGGTGCTCATCCAATCCCAAAATACGTTTATAAAATTCTCCAATAGGATTCTCAACTTGGTAGTTGTCCCACCTCTACCACCCAAAGCTAATCAACAACCAAAATGGAAAATGCATAAGTAATTCTGTTACATGACTGTTCTGCACAGCTGAGGTCAATGACAGTTTCAAATGTGAGCTTC